AAGTAGTGTAGTAGTATTTACTAGAATTTTGTTTATTATTTGTTTAAAAATGAATGTGAGTGAGATACAGGCCCTTAAAGTTTTCTTAATCGGAGGAAATTCCGGTAGGTACGGCCCTGGCTTCAGCCTTCCGTCAGCTGTTCCCGCCAAACATCGTTTGTCCTAAAACATATCTTCCTAACATTATTCTAATGTATCAGCCCGCCTTCGGCGGGCAGGGGCATTAAACAAACTCGAGTCTGTCATACATCTACCTAACTAAACAATGACGTCATCAATGCATATTTGGCGAGAACAGCTGACGAAGGGCTGCAGCCAGGGCCGTACCAATCGAAATTTCCTCCGATTAAATAACTTTAGGGGCCTGTATCTCAAGCTACATTGGTTTCCGCACGGAATTAATGCTACCACACGATTCTACTTGGTCAGTACTACCTACCTGACTAAACTTCATGTCTCAATTCCAATGTCAACTAATGTAAAAAATAACCACAAGGTTTATTAAAGTCTTATCAGTATGATTCTTGCATCGCATATACATTGTTGGGTGCTTAAAAAAATATTCCTGCCCATGTCGTAATCTATGAAATATTCTATGGAACGGATGGTACTATTACCTATGGTGGCATAGATTCTATGGTAGTATTCTTTTATCTATAGGTAGTGTCAACTATAACTAACCTCATTTCTGTTTGTAAATTTTGCTATGCTAAAAGGTTGTGTTTATTTTATATTTAAACAGTACTACAAAAATAGATAACGTAGTCAGTAATATAGTCCCTTTGGGTTAAGAAAAGTATTCGTTTTTTCGCAATTCGTTAACTGTAGCTTTTAAAATGGATGTTATATGCCCCCGGTGTAAAACTACAAAATTTCAAAATCCATCACTAAAAATGATGGTAAATGTTTGTGGTCATGCACTTTGTGAAAGTTGTGTGGATTTACTGTTTTTAAAAGGTAATATTACAAAATTGAAATTAATTCTTACAAAATGACACTGATTTTATGTGTAGGTTCCGGAGCTTGTCCAGAATGTCGTATCCCTTTAAGAAGGAACAATTTCAGGGTACAGTTATTTGAAGATTCAATGGTAGAAAAAGAGGTAGACATTCGAAAAAGAATTTTAAGAGATTTTAACAAAAAGGAGGAGGACTTTGCTTCCGTTAGAGAATACAATGACTACTTAGAAGATGTGGAAACAATAATTTTTAATTTAACTCATGATATAGATATAGTGAATACCAATAAAAAAATTGATGAATACAAAAAAAACAACAAAGAACAAATTATGAAGAGCAAGAGCAAAATGAGTAGAGATGAATATGAATTAGAAGAAATGATTGAATTTGAAAGACAACAGGAAGAAATTAGACGTAGTGAATTGTTACTGGAACAGGTAGAAGCTAAAAAAAAGAAGATCAGGGAAAAGGAAGCTCTAATTGACGAGCTCATGTTTTCAAGTACAAATGCTAAGAATATTGTTGAAACATTTGCACAACAAGCCAAAGAATCAAAGGAAATAGAAAATAAACAATCAGTAAAACGTCCAACTCAATTTTCAAGTGGCATTCAATTTGGAAAACAATCAAATACGTTTTTACCATTACCTATAGAAGAAGGCCCCTTGTATATTTATCAGCCTCCCTTGGTAATTATGGAAGGGCCACTATTACCTTCAGAAGAAGAATTATCAAGAGTAGGCTATTTAAGACATGTTAGAGTTGAAACTGAGCAAGAAAGAGCGGGAGGTTTCAAGTCAAACGTCGCTTGTATGAGAGCATTACAAGACGCTTTTGCAGGATTGTATCACACTAAAAAAGTTGCAGTTTAAAAATGATATTTATAAATTNATTCGTATAGTATTGTTTCATTTTAACCAAACCATAAACTTTGTTAAGAAAGGCTCCTGTTTTATCGTTTGAATTTACATATATATAAATACTTATTAATTTGCAGGGTTTCCCGGTTTGGCTGGGTGGCCTTTTGAATCCAGAAGCTTATATAACTGCTACAAGACAGTGTGTCGCCCAAGCAAACAGCTGGCCTCTTGAAGAATTGCAATTGGACGTAACCATCACCGACTCCTCAAGCGAAAAGAAAAATGTTCCGAGTGATTGTTTTGCCGTTACAGGTACTTTATTAAAATGCAAGCTAATTGAATTAAGTTTTCATCATTTTTTTTTTCAGGCATAAAACTTCAGGGTGCCCAATGCCGTAATAATCAGCTTCTATTGACCTCCAGCATTATGATAGAGCTCCCTCTCACGCTCTTACGATGGGTAAGGGTCGTAGGTGACGAAAAAGTATCTTGCGACCGTCTAGCCCTCCCAGTGTACTTAAACTCCACCCGTACTGAACTGCTTTTCACAGTTGACTTAAACATTGCTGCTGGACAAGATCCTCATAGCTTTTACGAGAGGGGAGTCGCCTTACTGACTTCAACTGCTCTCAATTAAAAGGTTTGCATGCTTTTTTATTACTTATTTTTTTAAAATATATTTAGAGAAATTGTAACTCATTATTTTTTTGGTGAATTCGTATAGCGTATTATTGTAATATTACTAGTTGAGGTGCACGCTTTCTGCAATAATAATAATAATCAAAATAATACACGCAATTGGAATGAACCTATTATTCTTTTCGTTTCCTTAATTACATGCACAAAATACAACTAAAAAATTATCGTACTTAATATTATCAGGACAAGCTACAAAAAAATATTCTTACAAATAAATTATATACGTATATATGTCATTAATTGTACTTAAAGTCACGTATGCAATTTCGGAGCTTTGATATTAGTAAATGATAAAAGCAATTTTTCAGTATCACTTGGATTGGTAATGCTGTAGTCTTGCCCTAAAAACAATTATTTCTTATATATTTACATACCATTTTAACTTTCTAATAAATCATTGGTTTATAAGCAATTTAAGCAGTAAAATTAATTTTGCAAAGTAATGCAAATGTACAGGTTAATAATTTTATTAAGCTTACCTAACGGTATAAAAAATGATTCTCCAATGTGTACATGCATTTTTCGCTGACCAAGTGTAACCACAGCTTCACCTCCAATTACAAAGTAGAACTGAAAAAAAAAGTTTAAGTGTTTTTATGGATAATGATGTAAAAAAATTACCGCATGACTTGTTTTAAAGTAGCATTGCTTTTTGAAGCAGTTCGGGTCAATTTGCATCAAACCGGTCGAACAAGTACAAAATCCTAAGTTTCGATTGGATTCGGAATAACCCACATAAAGACCCTGTTGTCCTATCACAGGAGTTAATTCAGGTTTCTTTTGGCACCAAGCTACAAAGAATATTTGTATGCATTATAATTACCTACATTTAATTAGTTGTAACAGGTTAATAAGTTTAATTTAGTTTTAAACTGTTTTTGCCCCTCTGAAAGGTAAACTTTCTTAAAGTTGTAATATAAAATTTTGTAGTTTCTGGCATATTACTTTGACTACTTACCCGCCTTTACTGCACGATTATTAATCACATAGCAAACGTCATTTAATTCGTAATAGTTTTCACTGGTCGGTAACGTAGTAAAAGATTGGTTGGTCGAATCCTCCTTATCGATAATTTTTTCACATATTGTTGTTCTTAAGATTTTAATTTCATGACCAATGCCTTTGTGTTTTTCTTCTATAGAAACATCATTTAATTGTCGTTTTTCTGTATTTCTAATGCTTTTTCTACGTGACCGTAATTCTCGCGGAGTTTCATTTACGTTATGGGTGATTTCATCAATATTGCAGTTGTCGTGTGTTTGGAAAGTCGTAGAATTTCCGTCAATTGCATTTAAGTGATCGGTTTTCGCTTTCTGTAACAGTTTACCTTTTTTTGCATTATTTTTCATTTTATTTCGATTTGTATCAACCATAGTTTGTTCTGCATTGTCGTCACTCATTTTCTTTTGGCTGTTATTCTTAGATTGGGACAGTACTTGGTGCATTTCAGAACTTTTATTTCTTAAATTGTAACGTGCTGTACTCGTATTTTGCAGAGTATTGTCATTATTTTTAAAATCGGTTATAACTTCATTATTTTCTTCGGTAATAGGAGGCAAAAAGATGTCATTTTCTAATCCCAAATTGGCCTGCATGTTATCTTGTAAAACCTCTATATTATTGTCGGCAGTAGATCTACTTGAGGTGCCTATCATAGTAAAGTTACCAGAATCTGGTAAATTAGACTGGATTAAATTTTCTGAATTCTTCTTTCTTGATTTTTTTTTTGAAGTGGGGGGTGGTGCTACAGGCATTTTAAATTGAGATTTTTGAAGATGGTCTGAAGGGTTCACTACAGATTTTTTACTACGATTGCTGTGAGTACTTCCTTTGAGCCTCATGCCACAATCTTAAATAAAAAGTACTTAAAGTTATCCTTTAAAATGTAATAACTAGGAATTATTCACACTTACATGATAAAAATTCTTTTTCAGTAATGATTAACGTTTCTAAACTGAATGCCTTGGTTTGTTTGCGAGTTCTGGAAGGCCTACAGCTTCCTAGAAAAACAAAAATTAGTTCAAATCAAGTAAGGTAAAAAATATGCAACAAACCTGACGTCTGATCCTCATTTATTGTAGATATGGTTGATGTATTAGTGTAATCTGAAAAAATATAGTTTATTATTTTATAGAATTTAGATATAATAGATTAGTGTGTTGCTTACATTGTCCAGCATTTTCACGTTGTTGAAGTAAATCATGGAGTACCTTAGCATATTTGTTTTTTATTCTACTTGTTGAAGTACTTTTATTAACTCGTTCTGATTTTTCCATTTTAGGATTTATATTTTCTTTTTCGTTTCTTTCTTTTTTTGATTTTTGTTTAACAGTTTTATTTTTTCTTACTTCCGGCAACTCTTGGGAAAAAGACTTTTTGTTATGTATGACGTGCTTTTTTACAATTGTATTTGTATTATTCTTTTGGGATCCTGTTGTAATTGATGTTCTGGTTTTATGAATTTTTTCAATCTGCTCAATATTATCGTTTAAAGTTTCTATGTTTTTCTTTTTAGATGTTTTTACAAGGTGATCTTTTTCTACGATTTCTAATTTTTTCCTAGTAGATTTTCTAATTGTCCTGACATCTCCACTTCGAGTACTCCTATTTCTCCCTAATTTAGTATTTCCAATTTTGTTATTGCTATTAATTAAAGTATCTACATCTGTTTCTTTTAAATTTACTTCTAAATTGTTGCTTTTGTTTGAATATTCCTCAACAATTATGCTTGGTTGAACAAATTCATTAATTACTTTGTTGTGTGGAGTAGTCTGAGTCTTACTTATTTCATCAGATGGTCCTTCATTTTCCTTTCCATCTAAACTAAACAACTTTTTAGGGCGCAACCTACTTGAACTGTGACGTTGTTCTCTGGTTTTGTTCATTTGGTCTTTGCCGGAAGTTGGGGAATCTAAATCGGAAAGTATGATGTTTTCATTTCTATTTGAATTTTCATTAGTATTATGCAAGTTGTTTAATAAGTTATCATGTGGGACTTCATTTCCAAAGTTCTGCTCAAAGTTACTTCTTTTCCTTGATTCCTTTTTTGTGTTTAAATCTGTTTATTGTAAAAACAAATAATTAATAGTAGTAGGCGTTACTTGTTGAAATTTCATAATCAAACATTAAATAAAAAAGGAAAAAGTTCAACGAAAACCTATTTGTACTTTTTGTTTGTAATATGGTATAGCTTTCATCTAAACAGTTTTTTTAGGGCGAACTTACTTGAAGTGTGATGTCTGGTTTTACTGATTTGGTCTTTGCCGGAAGTTGGGGAATCTAAATCGGAAAGTATGATGTTTTCATTTCTATTTGAATTTCCATTAGTCTTATGCAAGTTGTTTAATAAGTTATCGCGAGGGGCTTCACTTCCAAAATTCTGCTCAAAGATACTTCTTTTGCTTGATTCCTTTTTTGTGTTCGAATCTGTTTATTTTAAAGACAAATAATTAATAGCAGTAAGCGTTAGTTGTTGCAACTTCATAATCGAACGTTAAATAATAAAAAAGTTTAATGAAAACCTATTTGTATCTTTATTGTTGTAATATGGTATAACTTTTATCTAAACAGTTTTTTTGGGTGTAACTTACTTGAAGTGTGATGTTTGGTTTTGTTAATTTGGTCTTTATCAGACCTAGCCGAATTTGTATCGGAAAGTATGATGTTTTCATTTGTATTTGAATTATCATTAGTCTTATGCAAGTTGTTTAATAAGTTATCATGAGGGTCTCCACTTCCAAAATTCTGCCCAAACATACTTTTTTTGTTCGTTTTGTTTTTTGTGTTTACACCTGTTTATTGTAAAAACGAATAATTAATAAATAGATATAGAGGGCCAAAAGATTAGTATGCTTAACTTTACAAATGATATAGCGGTATTAGCATCCAGCAAGAAGTTAGTGATAGCTTTAAATAAAATGGTAGCGGTATTGACAAATAACAAGTACATATTGTATGAAAAAAATATCTAAAAATAAAACAAAAATACTGATATGCAAGGGAAGAAAAAGTAGGAAATGAGCGAATATAAAAATAGGAGACGAAACATTAGAAGAAGTGGCTGATTTTAGATATCTAGAAAGTCAAATAAGTCAGGACGGAAGTAGTAGGGATATAAAGCAGAGGATAGCGCAGGGTCGAGTCGCCTTCAATAAAAAGAAGTCACTTCTATGCTCGCGAACTGTTAATTTAGAAATTCAAAAATGATTTTTAAAGGTGTATGTTTAGGACACGGCGCTGTACGGGAGCGAAACATGAACGGTGAGCGCGGCAGAAAAGAAAAGGTTAGAAGTGTTCGAAATGTGGTATTACAGGCAAATGATGAGGATACCGTGTATAGAGAAGGTTATAAATGAAGAGGTAGTAGAAAGAATAGAACAAAGGACTCTATGGAAGTCAATAAGAAATAAGCAAGATAGGTTGGTAGGATATCTTCTCAGGTATGAAGGTCTAGTCAAAGATATATTAGAGTCAGAAACAGGAGTTAAGAGTAGTAGAGGTAGACCTAAATTAGATTACTACTGAGGAGGTAGGTTGTTTCAGTTTTGCGGAAATGCGAAAATTAGCTTAGGAAAGGAAAGAGTAGGGCTGCATATCCAACCAGTTTTAGAACTGACGATTTTATGATGATAACTTACTTGAAGTGTGATGTTTGGTTTTGTTAATTTGGTCTTTATCGGAAGTAGGCGAATCTATATCGGAAAGTATGATGTTTTCATTTCTGCTTGAATTTTTCTTTTTTAAAGCATTCAATAAATTATTCTGAGGGATTTCATTTCCAAAAATCTGTCCAAAGAAACTTCTTTTGTCTGGTTCCTTTTTTGTGTTCAAATCTGTTTGTAGTAAAAACAAATAATTAATAGTAGTAGGCGTTACTTGTTGAAACTTCATTAATCAAATACACTTCCTTTATCAGTACTCTCTGAAGATGTTCCTTAGTATGTTTGGTAACGTATTACTAAGCAATCCACATCTTGAAGGAATTACGGACTACCAGGCTAGACTGAACGTTATAATTGCCGACTTGTTTACGGTGAGTAAATTTGGACATCTTTATAAATCCGTGTTTGGTTTTTGGAAACATATATAAACTTAATAATAAATTGATTAGAGTTGTTAAGCGTCTACAAAAAATGCCTAATAATCAATTAACTACCTTTTGCCAAATATGAATAGACTTCACTTCAATAACTATTTTAACACATTGTTATTACGATTAGTAGCCCGAGATGTTTCGCCTGTTGATGCAAAATCCATACTACTTACAGTTAGATAGATTAAACATCCAATAAGGCTTAACTGATAATGTATAACATAATTAATTAATAATATTCAATTTGATTCAATACATTAAAGTAAACAATCGTTATTTGATTGTACATCATAGTAACATACTCCAAATATAAAATCATATTGCAATGTAACTATTACTTAAATAGGAATAATGAAATTAAACATTAATTTTGCTTATTAATTGTGTATTCTTTATTTATGCAGGTTTGCTATGAACGGGTTGCAAGAGGTATGCTTCATACTGATAGGCTGACATTTGCCCTTTTACTGTGTCGTATACATCTGAAGGGTATAGCTTCAGAACCAAGTCTAGATCAAGAGTTTAATTTCTTCCTTAGAGGTAAAGAGGGTGTTATCAATACTTCCAGCGTTCACCAAATCGACGGATTGACCCATGAACAACAAGAGGCACTAGCACGTCTTTCCACAAGGTTAATTTCTATATTTATTTTTTCTAAAAACTTAAAAGCATTTACATTAATACGTTTGCACATACAAATTTAGGTTGCTGCCATTCAAGAAGCTTCCGGAAAAGATCAATGAGATGCCAGAGTTTGGCGCATGGTTGCAGCAGAGCACCCCCGAACAGAACGTGCCTCGTCTCTGGAGCGAAGAGAAGCCGTTGAGTCCGATCGGTACGGCCATGTATCAGCTGTTGCTTATTCAGGCATTCCGTCCAGACAGAGTAATAGCAGCCGCACATGTGTTCGTAACTGCTGTGTTGGGCGAAGAGTTCATGCCTAGCGCCGAGAAGGAACTCGATCTTGCTCAAGTTGTCGAGAAAGAGCTACGAGCGAGTACACCAGCCCTACTCTGTTCTGTGCCCGGATTTGACGCGTCTGGACGTGTCGACGATCTAGCCGCTGAACTTAATAAGCAAATTTCGAGTATTGCGATTGGTTCAGCGGAAGGATTTAATCAAGCTGAGCGGGCGATTAATATGGCATGCAAAACGGGAAGGTAAGTCCTAAAGTATTTTACATATGTATTATTTATCAAACAATACTTGTCATTGTCTTCTTATTAATTTATTTATTAAATTGTATTTAGTATTATAGTAATTAAAAATGTGTAGTAGAGTTTCGAAATGAGTGTGCATGGTAGTTATCATTTCGAAAAGGCGATCTTTTTGCCCATATGGATAAATACTTACGGTTAGTTAAATTATGTTAAAAGTACAGTAATAATTTTGTAGATGGGTTATGTTGAAAAACGTCCATCTGGCTCCTCAATGGTTAGTACAGCTTGAGAAGAAACTCCATTCCCTTCAACCACATTCCAGCTTCAGACTGTTCCTAACAATGGAAATAAATCCGAAATTACCCGTGAACCTTTTACGAGCTGGACGTATATTCGTCTTTGAACCACCACCTGGTATCCGAGCTAACCTTTTGAGAACATTCAGCACGGTAAATATTTAATTAAACAAACAATACTTGTAAAATATAAAGTTCGTTTTCTTTGTTTCTTTAGGTTCCAGCTAGCAGAATGATGAAAGCCCCGAACGAAAGAGCAAGACTTTACTTCTTATTGGCTTGGTTCCATGCTATCGTCCAAGAACGTTTGCGTTATGTACCGTTAGGTTGGGCTAAATATTATGAATTTAACGAATCCGATTTACGAGTTGCTTGCGATACATTAGATCTCTGGATTGAAGCTACAGCTATGGTAAAAAATTATCTGTACAAGGATCGATCATGACCGCGCATTAATTAATTGATTTTTCAGGGACGTACAAATTTGCCCCC